AAATTGTGCATAGCTAAATACCAAATCCAAAAACTACTACATGGAGCAATAAGAAAAGACAACTCCATCTCAAACCATATCAAAGGTGTCCTGACAGATATCAGATACGTGTCCAACACATGAACTTCACCTGCTACATATTAGATAGGACAACTTGAATAAGTGTCCAACACATAGACTATATATAATAAATGTCCAACACATGGACTGCAATAGATAAATGTCCAACACGAGGACGTCATATAATTAAGGTCCAACATGTGGGCCGCAATAGGTAAATGTCAAACACGATGACTGTATATGATTAAGATCCAACACATGGGCCGCAATAGGTAAATGTCCAACACGAGGACTGTATATGATTAAGGTCCAACACATGGACTGCAATAGGTAAATGTCTAATACAAGGACAGTATATGATTAAGGTCTAACACATGGGCCGTAATAGATAAATGTCCAACACGAGAACTGCATATGATGAGCGTAATACAAATAAATGATGTAAGTAAAATGCATATATATTATTCACACTCGTGCCTCAGTGAGTGAATCCTAAACTCATGTCCATAATCAACTCATGTGTAGAATACATAATATACAGTGTATTAAAATACCAGATAACCCAGACAACTCGTCGGTCGCACAAACGCATGTAAACAACATGCACATGCACAAACAGGTCCAGCGGTCGACCGCCGCGACCACCGCGATCGATCGTGAAATGAGCAGAAAGACATTGCATAAAATATCACCCAGCGGTCGACCGCCTCATCCATCACGGTCGACCGTACAGAAACAGAGTGCTTCCTACACAAAAACGTCGCCCAGCGGTCGATCGCCGTGTCCACCATGGTTGACCGCGCAGAAGCATAACAGGTTTTCATGTTTTGAACTTGCAAAAATTTTAACTCATCAAAAACATAAATTTTGTTATTTATAAATTATATGACAAGATGAAAACTTTATTTCTATATATCAGAAAAATATTTCATGATTTACTTAAACTTGATTTAACCTAATCAAGTTTAACAACCGAAATAATCAAATTCTTTACAAGAACCATAGTTATCGACAAAATTAACATAAATATACTTATATGAAACTTAAAACCGATGTAACAATTGTTTTTCCATGTTTTCAAATCTTGTTTTACCCCAAACCTAGTGTTTTAAGCATCTCTAATCAACATAAAATATTATTTAATTTCCAAATTAGGGTTTAAACATAGTTTAATCATGATTAATAAATTAAAAACAAAATTATGAATAACCCTAATGATCGTGATCATATTTCTATCATAAACAACAAGGAATTATTATAGATCTATCATGGTTTAAAGAATTATCATCAAAAATCTAAACTTTATCATGTCGGGTTAAACTTTACCATGAAAAATATCACTTTAATTATTAAAAGTCTAATCTTTATTAAGGGAAGGGTTTGGATGCAGATAATCTTACCTTATCATATGCACAACCCCCTGAAACAATCAGTAAACGATCCCTCAATGCCAAACGCCGCAAATCTTGCCTTCTCATCGCTTTTCGCTTCATGAAACTCTCCCGAGAACTCAAGTTTAGGGCTAGGGTTTGAGAGAGGAGGGGAGGGGCTGCTAGGATTTGGAATACAAAAGAAAAGAGGTATTTTTCATATATAAACATGTATATATATGGCAGCAAACCTGAATAAATACAACCCAAAACCCGAAACCTGAAACTGGAAACCCAGTCTGACTAGAAACATACTCGTCAGTATTTTGGTTGTAATTTTCGTATCCGACCTCAGAATGAGGTCATTAAAGATTTGTTAGAAAGATGCTGAAGAGACCTACAACTTTGGTCTTTTAAGTTTTCCTATATTCATACTTTATTAGTGTATAAAATACAAAATACCTCCACTAGTCATTATTTTCTAGATTTATACATCATGCATGTTTTGTGTATTTGCACTCATATATACATATATACAGTGAATTAATCTCAAATCAATTCATAGTATACTCAAACATCACAATATATTATTTCTAAATGTATAACAAATTTATTATTATTTATCACAAAATATTCAAATTTTTAGGGTTTTACAATAGTATAATATAATAAGCATGTTGATATTAAATCTATATTAATTACATTTAATATATTATGTTAGATATTATATTAACACATTCTCAAACTCAAAACCAAAACACCAAACTTAAAACACCAAAAATGTGTTTTGAAATAAGTGTTGTGTTTTTGGTTTGAGGATGATTTAGCTCCAAAAACACTATGATTTCCAAACGCATGGTGTTTTATTTTTTGGTAAAAACACCATGGAAATAAATAAAATACCATGTATCCAAACGGACCCTAAATAATCAGTTTGTGTTCTAGATGTCCAAATATCACAAGTTAGAGAAAATTTATAGTTTAAGTTTTAAAAATAAAAAATTATTTTTGTTTCTTCATCGTGATAATACTTTAAAATATAATATTGACAAGATTGATGAGAAATTTTTTAAATGAGGGATAAAAACCATCTCTAATCATATCCTCAAATTCATCATCTTTAACTAATTAAAAAGGAAGGTTTTTAAAAACATTAAACCTAATGACACATTTCTTGGCTTTAATTGCATCGTAGTTCCAGAACCAAGGCTACCGGAGGTTGATGATTAAAAGAGTAGAGATTGATAGATGTCTCCTTGAGACATTGTCTCTTGAGCTCTGTTGTGTTTTTTAAAATGGCATTTGAGGTGGTTGGTGCCGCTCTTAAGATGAGCTTGGAAAATAAGGCTACACAACACACATTTAGCCTTCTGGATGAGAAGTTTACAATGTTGATCCCTAGTGACTTCTATCTTCTCGAAAAAATTCCACACATCAAATCTCGACCTCTTAGGAGCTCTAGGTGTGGTATTATCGCCACCGGCTTCGGGATCAACATTGGTAGGGGTAGCTCCTGTAGGTATAGTAGGAGTAGGAGTAGGACTTATTTCAATATCGGGAGTTGAAACTTGCCCTTCATACACTACAACAGACAGGTCTTTTAGCGACCAACCTTTTTACGAGAAATTAATTTTTCCTCAACAAATATCACTTTCGACAAGAAAAATATTGTTTCCTCGATAAGTATCAGTAGGTCTTCAACGAGGAATATATTTTCCTCACAGTAGATCACCTTCTACGATGAAAATTTTAGTTCCTCACTAAAGATGATCATGATTTGGTCTCTTACCTAGTTATTTTATTGGCGAGGAAATATGAAATTTTGGTGATGGACTTTTTCATCGTGAAATGCAAATTTAACGAGGAAATAATCATTTCATCACTGTTCTTTTGGCGGAAAATAGTGGAAAAATCATCAAATGTAACACCGACAAAGTATGATTTCCTCACTGAAGATCCATAATCTGCGGGGAATCATTTCCTCATCAAAAGAATCAATCAGCGAGGAATTAATAGTTTCCTCATTATTAGTTTGGCGGGGGGAAAAAACCCACCAATTTCAATGGTGACAAATTTTATGGCTTCCTCGCTAAAAGTTTTTATTTTTATGAGGAACCATTTCCTCGTTAAAAAGAACTTATTAGCGAGGAAATTATAGTTTCCTCACTATTAATTTGGTGGAAAAATTTGCAAAACACCCGCCAAATTCATTGACGACAAATTAAAGGTTTTCTCACAAAAATTTTTGTTTTACGAGGAACTGTTTCCTTGTTAAAAAACCTATTAGCGAGGAAATAATAGTTTTCTCATTATTAGTTTGGCGAAAAAATATGCAAAACCTACCAATTTCAATAGCAACAAATTTAAGGCTTCCTCGCTAAAAGTTTTTTTTTTACGAGGAACCGTTTTGTCATCAAAAAGAACCTATTAGCAAGGAAATAGTTTCCTCATTATTAATTTGGCGGAAAAATGTGCAACACTCGCCAAGTTCATTGATGACAAATTAAAGGTTTCCTCACCAAATTTTTTTGTTTTACGAGAAACTCTTTCCTCATTAAAAGAATCAATTAGTGAGAAAATAATAGTTTTCTCATTATTAGTTTGGTAGAAAAATGTGCAAAACCCGCCAAATTCAATGACGACAAATTTAAGGCTTCCTCGCTAAAAGATTTTGTTTTGCGAGAAATCATTTCCTTATTAAAAAACCAATCGGCAAGGAAATAATAATATCCTCATTATTCGTTGGCGAAAATTTTGGTGGGAATTTGGGTAAAAAGTAGGCGGGTACTCAATGACTTGGATTGCTTTTAAAAAAAATGAACGACTATGATTGAGTTACTTATACATTCAACAAAACCCTAAACTAAAGCGCCTCTATCTAAACCCCATCCTTCTCTCCTCCCAATCCCCAGGCCTCACCCTCCCTCCTCCCTCTCCCCTTACCCCCGCTACCCCATCCCCTCCCCCTCCTATCCTCCTCGGATCCTCACCCTCGCCTCACTGCCTCTCCCTCCCTCTCGACCCCACCCCTCCTCACCTCATCCCTCCTTCAAACCTCACCTCCCGCTTCCTCCTTCCCTCCCTCCCCCCCTCCTCTGCCTCCTCCTTTGCTCACCCACTTCTTTTCCGCCAAGGCCCTCATCCTCTCCTTCCTCCCCCTTCGACCGCCGGCACCACCACCTCCTCCACCACCTCATCCGCCAGCCCACACCCACCCTCACCCTTCGAGAGCCCTCCTCGACACCACCCTCTCCGCTTAAGCCTAATCCCACCATCCCCACCTCACCGAGCAGCTCTTCCAGTCTAGTAGGAACTGTTTTTTGGCCATCAGGTAAAAATTTCATCTTAATACTGTTAGTATTTTTATTTTTTTGAAGAAAAGGATAATACTTTTCCTACAAGATCTATTTTTAGGAACTTTGTGTGTTTTAAGCTGGATTTTCTTTTTCCTCTTTTTTTTTGTTATTTGGAGCTCAAATCAAAACTTTTCTCTTTGCTACTGATTAGAATCGTCAATGGTGTTTAATACGCAGTGACATTTTGTTCAATGAAGCAGTGATATTTTGTTTAATGGACAGAAGTTGGATGTTTGTTAGAGATAGGTTTCACAACCCTGACTTCACCAATGGTTTAAAAACATTTCTGAATGCTGTGAAACAACACCTAGATCATGAAAATAAGACGTGTTGCCCCTGTGTTAAATGTCAAAATGCCTTGCCATGTCTTTCTCTACCCGAGATATGCAAACATATACTTGTAAATGGGTTTGCACAAAATTACACGACATGGACTGAGTACGGGGAAGATTTTGTTGATGTCGCAGATGATCAAATGTATGAAGATTTTGAAAGTGACAGCGAGGATGATGATGATGACAATGCTATAATGTTGGACATATTAAATGATGTGCAAGGGGCTATAAGTATGGAGACAGATGATGAGAACGATATTCATGTTAACAAATATGATTATTTGTTTAATGAAGCTCAACGAGAACTGTACCTGGGCTGTACAAAGTTCTCTACATTATCTTTTATTATAAAATTAATGCATATCAAGATAGATGGCCGTTGGAGCAATAAAAGTTTTAAAAATCTACTAAAATTGTTAAATGACTCATATCCAAAAGGTACATCCATACCAACATCGAACTATGAAGCCAAAAATATGTTGTTGGAATTGGGTTTGGGGTATGAATCCATACATGCATGCATGTATGACTGTGCACTATTTTATGGGAAAGAGAATAAGAAACTGGATGAATGTCCAGTGTGCAAGGAGTCGAGATACAAGTCTTGTGATGGCAAACGCAAGAAAGTTCCACAAAAAGTCTTGCGTTATTTTCCATTGAAGCCGAGACTTTGGTGGTTGTATATGTCGAGACATACAGCGACTAAAATGAAATGGCATAAAAGAAGAAGACAAAATGAAGAGGGTTTCCTACGACATCCAGCTAATTCTGCCGAATGGAAACACTTTGATCAGGAGTATCCAGACTTTGCTGCGGATTATTGAAATATGAGGTTAGGGCTTGCTACAGATGGTTTTAATCCATTTGGAAACATGAGCACTAGTGTAAAACCCTGTAAAATAAAGTGAATGAGTTTTTATTATGAAATATATATTTATATCATAGATAAATGTGATAACAAGTGTTTGGGGATCAAATAAGTGTATATATGTGAGAGAAATCAAGTAGAAAAGACCAGCACACAATCAAACATGCACAAACAGGAATTTTCCTATCTGGTCGGCCACACCATAATGGCGATCGACCGCTGGACGTGCATGCGAGCAGAAAGCCTTCTGCTTTCTGCGCAGTCGACCGTGACATAGAGGCAGTCGACTGCCGAGCGGATATTGAGTTTTTTCAGGTTCGAGCCATGTTGGGTTTGGATCAGATTTATTGGTTCATATATATATTTCTTCACCGAAAACCTACCTCTTTCACCGGTCTAATTCCTAATAGCCCCTCCTTCTCTCTTAAACCCTAAACCTCTTCCTTTGGGCGATTTTGGAGGATTTCGGAGGGCTAACAACGAGACCCAGTGGTGTTCAGCGAAGGAGGATCTTTCCTGTGTGTTTTTGGGAGTTCATCAGCACCCCTCAGGCGAGTTTCATCTCGCTCAACTCTGCACCCAAGTTTTAAACGATTTTATTGAGTTTTTACATGGTTTTATTAAGCCAAAAATGATGTTTTGTGTATATAGATAAATCTGCGTTGCATATGATGTAAAGACCAAAGTTTTGTCTTATAAAAATCCACCAAATGAAATTCTTAATGTAGATCTAAATCTGAAGATGTTTTTCTAGCAAGAGTTTTAAAGAAAATCCACCAAATGAAATTCTTAATGTAGATCTAAATCTGAAGATGTTTTTCTAGCAAGAGTTTTAAATGAAATAACCCCGTTCTTATATGATTCGTAGATCTAAATCTGAAGATGTTTTTCTAGCAAGAGTTTTAAATGAAATAACCCCGTTCTTATATGATTCTGCATGTTTATATATATTCATGAATGATTTGATTTATCTAAAATGTTTAGATCTGTTTTCGTGTGTTTTAGAAATGCTAAATCATTCATATAGGGTTTCCAGTATGTAAGATTATCATTTATGAGTTTTTGTATCATAGACCGTAGAACAAAAAACCTGTAGGAGGCTTTATGTGCTTGCGCGGTCGACCGCAGATATGTGGCGGTCGACCGCTGGGCGCGAAGATTAGCAGAAACTTTCTGCTCACTGTGCGGTCGACTGCAGGTATTTGGCGGTCGATCATGAGACCTATTGTGCATGTGCACGTCATTTGCGTGCAGTTGTGTGGCTGGCGAAACATCTAGGTTATATAGGTTTGTTGTACACTGAGATTTGTGTACATGAGTTGACTTTTTGACATGAATCTTAGATTTATTCACTGGAATATGAAAGTGAATAGTATATATACTTTTACTTGTATTTGTTCATTGTACGATATTAATCGTATGTAGTCCATACGATGGAAACTTGTCTATTGCGACCCATGTATTGGATCTTAATCATATAGTCCATGTGTTGGACAATTACCCATTTCAGTCCATGTGTTGGACCTTCGTCATATATAGTCCATATGTTGGGCTTTTACCTTTTACAGTCCATGTGTTGGGCATTTATCATATGCAGTCCATGTGTTGGACATTTATCTGAGTTGTTTTATTTAACATATAGTAGATGAAGTCCATGTGTTGGACAAGTATCTGGCGTTAGTCAGGATATTTTGATAGTATGGTTGGAGATGGAGTTAATGCTCCACGCTGTAGCTCGGATTTGGTATTTATCAGGATATTTTGATAGTATGGTTGGAGATGGAGTTAATGCTCCACGCTGTAGCTCGGATTTGGTATTTAAATATTTATAATTTGAGCTACGGGGGACTATGCTCGTGTTGTAAATTTCTAAATAACAAACTCCCACTTCATTTTACAGTCAATGATTGATTATCTATTATATATCTACAGCTATTTTCTTATCCTTCTAGCCCTTCCCCCTGGGGTTAGTTGATATGTTACTCGCTATAACGCTTTAACGCTCGTTGTTTTTCCCCCCTTTCAGGCAGCGAGTCAGGCACACAGAGGGTTGCAGGTTGATGAGATGTCTTCATAGATTCTATCTAGATATTTATTATATTTGTAGTTTATGACAGAACTCCATAGTAGATGTATTTATGAACATTTGAGATATTATTTCTAGCTTTGTAAAGTGATGTGCCTTTATGTCATTTCATTTGACTTCCTATTATGAGACAGTTGTATCAGTTCAGTTGTTTGTTTGCCTTTATGTCATTTCATTTGACTTCCTATTATGAGACAGTTGTATCAGTTCAGTTGTTTGTTTCTCAGAGATTTATCCATTTATATCATATCAGTTCAGTTGTTTGTTTCTCAGAGATTTATCCATTTATATCAGTGATGATGATTTTCTTCAGAGTACTGTTGTTTAGTATTTTTCCGTATATTCTCTCTTGCTTGTTTTGTACCTACACCTGTTGTTGATTCTACTAGATAGATAGTAACTGTGATGGTGAAACATGTCGTAGCATGGTGTTTGGTGCTTGGCAGGTTTGACATTCTTGGTTTCACCTTGGACAGTAGCCTTATTGAAACCAAGGACATCGCAGTTGGTATCAGAGCGCTAGTTCCAGTATCCTAGGATCATCCTGTATCAAGTCGTGGAGTTAGAGTAGAGTTTCTTGAGATTCATGTATAGAGTCCGCTAGAAATTTTTAGAAGTGAGGACGTTATATTCACGTATACAAAAATTACAAATATTTTTTTGTGATATTAAAAGTATTTGCATGAACGATATATGATGTAAACTTTCTATTTATACAAGCTCCATATATGTTTTGTTTGAGGACTCATAATCCTTCTTCTATGTGCTCAGATGGCAGGACGCGGTAGACTTCGTACCTGGAGAACTAGTCAGGCAGAACCACAGCAGGCTCCACCTGAACCACAGCAGACTCCACCCAAGCCGCAGCAGGCTCCCTAATATTTGATAGATCTGATGGCTCCCATAGCCGCTAGGATGGCAGCGCTTAAGGAGCTTGTGACGAATCACGTTACACCACCACCACCAGTAGTTCCACCACCGGTAGTACCAGCTATTCCAATTGTGGAGAATTTTTTGGGAGTCACACCAGCACCTACCCCACAGGTAGTTGCTGATAGGGCCACAGAGTAGGAGGCTTGTCTCCAGCTAGTGAAGAGATACAAGAAGATGAGGGCACCGAAGTTTTAGGGATTGTCAGATTCTCTTGCTACACATAAGTGGAAGGAGAATGTGGGTAACATTCTTTAGATACTTAATGTGACTTCAGTTCAGAAGCAGAGGCTGGCATCTTATAGTCTCAAAGGTGATGCAGGAAGATGGTATCGGCTTCAGTTCACTCCAGAGAAGAGGACGACCCTCACCTGGGAGGATTTCGTCTACTTCTTCGATGAGCAGTATATCTCTTCTGTGGCACGAGCCAGGAAAGAGCTTGAGTTATCCAGATTGACTCAGGGAGACATGTCAGTAATGGATTTTGAGAGCATATTTATGAGTCTACTTCACTTTACGGGCATGTGGCAGACCGGAGAATGCCAGGCACAGATGTTTCTAGCAGGACTTCGCCTTAGCCTTCATCGATACCTCGTTTCTAGGAGGTTCTACTCAGTTTAAGAGGTAGTTGCTGCTACCACTTCACAGGAGAATGAGTCAGCTATGTTCCAGAAGGACAAAGAAGGAAATACTAAAGATAAGGACAAGAATAAGAGGCCATTTTTCGGACCACAGCAGCAGCAGCAGCAGCAGCAAGGCCCTCATAGGAGAAGATCTCAACACGATCAGAGAGCACCTCAGCAGCACAAGTTTCAGAGCACATGTTATAATTGTTGAAAGATTAGGCACAAAGTATCAGAATGTCGCAGTGCACCAGCAGGAGCTCAGCAAGGGAAAGGGCAGAATCAGCAACAGAATCGATTTCTGGGCCGATGTCAGGGCCAGCAGATAAGACTAGAGCCACCACTAGTGGTCCCGCAGATTGAGGGGTAGGTTCGTGCAGTTCAGGAGGTCCCTTAGGGACTGGTAGTTCCATATGTTCTACCTCCAGTTGCAGAGCAGGCTCCAGCCACCGGTAGAGTCTATGCAGTAGTCCCTCGTGATCATGGTACGAGCAGGGCCGTAGTGGATGGTACGTTCTTCGTGAACTCCTTTCCAGTCCATATTCTTTTCGATTCGGGAGCTTTGCACTCTTTCATATTGTATGCTTTTATGATTAGACTTCAGCTCGTAGCTCAGCCTCTAGATGTTTCTTTGTCAGTTTCCACCCCGCTAGGTGAGATGTCGCTCTTGGAGAGCATTTATAGGATGTGTGTTATTAGTTTAGACGAGTCTGAGTTTGTTATCGATCTGATAGTGTTGAGCATGTTAGAGTTTAATGTTATTCTTAGTATGGATTGGCTATCTTCCTACCACATCAGTATCGACTGTTTTGCGAAAACAGTCAAGTTACGAGTGTCTGATGGGTCCGAGTTAGTTGTGGCTACCTCTCAGGGGAACCAGTTTGTGGAGTCATTACTGGCGTACATCGAGGAGGTGATGCTTCGGGATCAGAGTGTTGATATATGCGAGACTAGAGTTGTCTTAGATTTTCAGGATGTCTTTCAGGACATACCTAGATTGCCTCCTGTGAGAGAGGTTGAGTTTTGTATTGAGTTGCAGCCAGGCACAGCTCCAATATCCCGAGCACCCTATCGCATGGCACCTGCTGAGATGAGGGAGCTACAGACCTAGTTGGATGAGTTGTTAGCTCAGGCTTCATTCGTCGAAGTTATTCTCCGTGGGGAGCGTCGGTCCTCTTCGTAAAGAAGAAGGGTGGTAATATGCGATTATGTATCGACTACCGTGAGTTGAACAAAGTCACTATCTGGAATAGATATCCTTTGCCTCATATTGATGACTTGTTCAATCAGCTATAGTGAGCGTAGTATTTTTCGAAG